GATTAGTGTTCTAATTGTCTCTGACAGGACGCTGCGGCTGTTGGAGAATATTAGGCCTCGAAGTTGTATTCCAGTGTGTATGCGATTTCCAGCGTGCTAAAAATAAATGGCTGTCTCACTGGCCGTAGCTAGCAGCTGATTTTGTTAACTGCCCAGACTCAATAGTGTTCCTGCCCTGACTCAACGCAGCCGAAACACAGTCGCTCTCCCCCCTGGTGCTACTAATATTCCTACCACACACACACACACAGAGTTACTAATTACAACCTGGTGCCAGCCGCCAAAAATCATATCAAGTTTCAGGCGATTCCAGGGCTGAAGAAATCAACGCACAGCATTTCAGCGACAACCCAAACACGCACACAAACACACCACAGTGGCACCGTTAGGCGCGGAAGCACATGGCGATGCATGGCCTGGGGCCTCCCAGGAGAGATTTCAAATTCAAGTCCCTGGGAACAAAAATGAGCACTATTGAGCACACAAACCACTTCTAGCTCAAACAAACAATACTAACAAACATCACCTATCAAACATACTCCATTCGCGGCTTCATCTATTCGCCTGCCGCTCGCCTCCACAGCACCTCTAACGCCCAGAGAACTAATCTACCAACACGCCCACTTCTTTATACTATTCTTCTTCCTTCGTAATCAACACCAACTCTTAATCACCACACACACATCGCTACACACCACACTGAATTACACTATTCACGTTCCTGTAACTCGAACCTCACGAACACAAAAGAAATCAAATAAACAATATACCCATTCCACAATTTCTGTACCCTTTTTAGCGCATACTTGCAACGGGCCACATCCTCAAAAATCTAAGACCGTATTTCCCTAAATCACGGCAATACGGTCTCGAATCCGCCCCTGGAAGTTTGCCGCTGAGATGCCAAGTTTGGGAAAAACTGTGTGAAGAACGCGTGTCGTATTCAAAGAACTTTTGAAGAACACATTCGATTTTCAGGTAAACTGGTGGTGGAGAATCCGCGACGAAACACAGGTAAAGTTTGACTATATTTCTTCAGTATTATATTGGATAGAATATTTTTAAGTGAAAACTACGCAAAACGCTGTAAAGGACGTGTTGCAATAACTCTCTCGCCATTACTGTACCGCTTGATATTATATTATGTACGCCTAACACTTGCTGGTCTTAGGAGACATAGCTCTACCTGGTGTAAGCCTGGCTCTGCTCCGCTACAGAAAAGCGCTACATGTCTACAATCCAAAACTACCATGTTTTCCTCTTCACAACCAGGCAATATGTTGTGTTTTTACGAACCACGTACATATAGTGTATTGCAGTATACATATATTCCTGCTTATATTCGGATAATTACATTGTCATACATACCCTATCCCAGCCAACTATTTCAATCTCATTCAGCAGACGAGATAGTCTTCGGGTGCTGACACAAATCTGCTTAGCTCGGGCTTTTGCTTCCCAAACCTTGAGTTTCCTGAAACAATCCGGGTATCTGGTAAAGACAGTTCATCCCAAGTCCAATTTAAATATGATCAGGACGTACGAATAATAGGGATTCCTATTTAATCTGACTTCTGACTATATGGCTAAGATAAGGTATGTATCTTTGGAATTCACTAATTTCAATGCCACCCATAAGGTCATTATCATCACTAACCATTATTCTATTTTTTTATATCTATCCTGTTTGATAATGCGTGATAATCACTCGAATTAGCATATTAGCTCTACAGGCAAAATAACACCCATTGATATTCTTCTGATTTTGGTATCGCAATCATCGTCTTTCCGAACACCCCTACTCCTTGTTGGTTACAATATTAGTACTAAGGAGAGAGGATACTCCTTGCGAGCTACCAATAACGGTCATCCGCCATGATTCAAAAAAAAAAAAAACGCCCACTAGAACAAATGCCTTGACTGTAATGGTCTGTATTCACATCTATTCAATACGAGACACTGTCA